GTGGACGATGGGGGGCCAAGTTTGCAAAATGAGAGAGAAGCTTTCGGCGGAATCTCGGGCAGCTTTTCCCGCCCCAGACGGGCCCTTCTGACTGACTGACTGATGGATCCATCCGATCAGCCCATCAATGCAGGACAGACTGGAGAAGGTGGAGAAGGCTTAACAGAAGGCAGGCGGTCAACCAATCTGTCCTTCTGGGCCAGTGGGAGACAACTATGAGAGAATAACAAGAGCTGGAAGGGACCCTGGAGGTCTTCTAGTCCAACCCCACCCCATCCCTGCTCAGGCGGGAGCCCTCTTAGACCGTTTCCGAGAAACATGTAAGTATCTAAAGAGGAAAAGAGCACCGTACGGCAGTCCATCCGTTACCTCAGCCCGTTGACAATGTCTTTTGTCTTTCCGAAATAAATCTCATTCAGCGTACTTCTGATTTTATTCTCCATGTCCTAGAAGAGAAGAGAGAGACAGAGAAAATTCAGGCTCACTTCCGCTCAAACGCTCTTCCTCCCCTTCCTCTTTTTAATGCTCATTTTAATCTAATCCTTATTTTTCCCTCCTGCCTTTGAGCCTGTAAAACCCTCCAGGCAGACTCCCTCTGGGCCTTTCTTAAGAGAAAAGCTGGCGCTGCCCTTTGGAAGAATCCTGGCATTTTCGGGACGGAAGGCAGAATAAAAATAGGGAATTGCCCAGGTCAAAGGTAGGCAACCTCGGCCCTTTTATGACTCGTGGACTTCAACTCCCAGAATTCCTGAGCCAGCTGTGCTGGCTCAGGAATTCTGGGAGCCGAAGTCCACGAGTCATAAAAGAGCCGAGGTTGCCTACCCATGGCCCAGGTCGAGAATCCCCCGTTAACGGTCAGGTGGGGACTTGGCCACAAGGGGGCAGCAGGCAGCTGCCGAAAGAAATTGTGTCCCCCCCCCCTCCAGTTCAATTGACCCTTTCCAGCCTGGTGTCCGGCGTGCATTTCCAGGGCAGCTGCCCCAATTTCTCCTCCTCCAGGCCCCAGCCTTGGGAGATGGGACCATGGGCGGCGTCTCCGCCTTCCCCAACAGGCAGGGGCCGAGATTGACCGTTTGCTTTTCAATGGGTTCGAAAGATTTGAGTTTGGGGAAACTTGTTTAACATCCCCCCCCCCCATCTTTTGGCATCAGAGGCACTTGACGGGAGATGGCGAGTAACGGGGAGACCTTGAGATACAGAAAAAGGAGGGTCTTAGCCACAGGGAGCCCCTTCCTTCCTTCCCTGTCTCCCGTCCCTTTTATGCACCGATCTTCTCCAAAGTTTAGTGGCAATCTCTACTATGTGTGCATTTGGGTAAAGGGGCAGGGAGAGGGTGGTCAAAACAAGGAAAGTACATCTCTGTTCCACACACACACACACACACACACAAGTGGGCACCTCCTCTGGCCTGCCAGCCAGCCAGCCAGCTCCCTTTGTAATTAACTCTGCACAAGCAGGGCTGTTTAGATGGCCCAGAGAAGCCTAGGATAGGGGTGTGAACCCCAGGCGTACTTTCAAGCTGTTTGGGCTCTTCGGCTACTAGTTGCCCACTAGCAAAACAGGAAGGTCAAAGGTTAGGAGCCAAGAGCCCCTTCACCCCATTTCTCCAGAGCCCACGGTCCGGGTGGTAGAAAGGATTCCCCCCCCCTCTGTCCCAAGGGCCTTACCTCAACCAGACGGCCAATATTGGCTATATGCGGAGAGGAATCGCTCACCGTCTCGTCTTTTTCCATCTGGGAAGAAAGGAAGGAAAAAGCTGAGGAGGAGGAAGAGGAGGAGGAGGAGGAGGAGGAGGAAAAGGAGAACTGTCTTTGGTGCTCTCTGAGTTTCATTGTTTTCTTGAAGATGTTTCATTACCCAACTAGGTAATTTCATCAGTGCTAGAAGGGAATGGGGTTACATAGAGGAGGAGGATAAAAAGGAAACGAGGACTATGGGGTCCTGTGGGGTTACAGAGAGGAGGAGGAGGAGGAGGAGGAGGAGGAGG